TAACTCCTCAACTTGAATGTGCAAACAGTAATATATATATTCAATTAATTCAAGTAATGATTATTCAAAGAAAAATATTGTACCTGAACATGTGCTCTCGATTTTTATCTAAATGGAATTTAAAACAACTTCCCATGACAGTTGAGAAGATAACTGTCCTAATATGTATATATATATATATATATATATATATATATATATATATATATATAATATATAATATATATATATATATATAATGTATGTATATATATATAATATGTATATGTATAATATATATATATATATATATATATATATATATATATATATATATATGTATATATATTATATATATATATATATATATATATATATATATATATATATATATATATATATATATATATATATGTAGATATAAACATATATGCATGTGTGTCCATATATATACATGAATATATATGTGTATATAGATAAAATATATACATATATATACATATATATATATATATATATATATATGTATATATACGTATACATAAATACATACATATATGTATATATGTATATATATGCATATATATATATACATACATTCCGTGCCTCTTGGTTTTGACACCCTCCCGCAATTTCTTTTGTAGTTAAGCATCGTAAACTTCTATAATTCTTGACCTTTTGTCAAGAAATCCATCACCACTACTCAATACTGGTTTAAAAAAAAAAAAAAAATGTGAGCATAACCACGTCTACTGAGGGTTTGACTTGTGCTACATCTGTTTTGACTGAGCCTTAGTTTATGGAGCCAAGTTTCAACCTGTATCAAAAAAGCCCTCCTGCTTTTCCTCGCTAAAAGAGCCTTAGGACAGAGGACTCTGGAAAGGTGTGGGTAGCCTGTGAACCGAGCAGACAACTTTTACAAATGCAGATGGTCATGAATGATTTCGTCCACGGACCCAACACTAATCATGACATCTTGGGCTAGCTGACGAACAGCAATACTGCGATCTTTCATAATGGGAGTCTCCAGTGGAAGGGTGTCCCACCACTGCAGACTGGGATTGTCCTCCACAGATCCCGACCACACCTGAACTGCCAATGGCAATTAAGAACGTCAACGCCAGTAAATTGTTTTCATCTCATCATGAGTCTCCTGTGTTGTGCAGCCATTCAAGCATAAAAACCTAATCACTGCAGCTCCCTCACCGCTGTAAGAGCAAATATGTTATGAGTTCAGATCTGAAAATAAACATAACCTATAGTGATGTGTATCATTATGCAAATAGATATTCAGCCTCTTAGGATAAGCGGAAGTAGGTCAGGATAAAATATTTGATGGACGCCATTCGTGCCCATATATATATATATATATATATATAATATTATATATATATATATATATATATATATAATATATATATATATATATATATGTATATATATATGTATTATATATATATATATATATATATATATATTATATATATATATATATTATATATAATATATATATATATATATATATATATATATATATATATATATATATATATATATATATATATTATATATGTATATGTATATGTATATAGATGTATATACAAATATATCTATATATGTATATATACATATATATAAATACATATAGATGAATACACATATATATGTACATATAAATAAATATATATATATATATATATATATATATATATATATATATATATATATGTATATGTATGTATATATATGCATATATACATATATATATATATAATATATATATATATATATATATATATATATATATATATAATACATATATATCATAATATATATATATATATATATATATATATATATATATCGGCATATATATTTTTTTATACGCATGAATGAAAAATCCGAAAGGGAAAACTGCGGCAACCTTCGAATACTTTGGAGTGGGAAACGTCAGGGAGGAGAGGGAAGGCAGCGAGAGGGGGAGGCGGGAGGGAAAGGTGACCGATATAAAAGCTGACACATTACAATTCATCAACAAGTTGGTAAGCGGCTTCACCTCAGCTAACATCGCCATGGTGAGAACAGTTCATGAAGAGACGGTCTCTGTTTCCTTTTTCTTTTGCATTTTCGCAGCCGCTAATGAGCTGAACTGACGCAGCAGAGATTTTAAAATTTCAGCGCGAGTTTGATCCTGATATTTTTTTCCAGAAACTGCTCTGATTGCCGTGTTGGCGGCCACCCTGGCGGTCGCCAGCTGGGCTGCTCCGGAAGCCAGCGGAGGCTATGGCTCTGGTGGAGGTGGAGGAGGCTCCTTCGGTGGGGGAGGAGGCCATGGCATCGGTGGGGGTGCAGGAGGCTCCTTCGGTGGAGGAGGAGCAGAGGGATATGGCTCTGGAGGAAGAGGAGGAGGACTTGGCTCCGGAGGGGGAACTGCGACCATCAACTTCAATCTTGGAGCACCTAAAGGCTCGTCTGGCGGAGGCCTCGGAGGTGGACACGGAGGCGGTTCCAGCGGAGGATT